AGTCTGCTGGGCGCTGCCCGGCCCTTAGCACGCGCGCGCTGGCGCTGCGCTGGCTCCCTCAACCCAGACACTTGGGCGAAGCGCGCCCTCCTCGCCCCAGGTGAGGAGGCGCCCAGGCTTGCATCAGGACGCACAGCACAGCGGAAAGGCGTAGAGAAGCCCAGCGACTTCGGGGTACACCCTGGGCGCTGTCGGGTGGAGCACACCATGCACGTGTGTGCCCGTGTATGCGCGGGGGAGCGGGTGGGTGCGTGCGGCTCTCTCAAGTGTGCACTGCCATGCGCGCTGCATGGGTTAATATGCGGAGAGGTGTCCCTTACCGGGCAGGGCTCGGCTGGGACGCGGAGGGAATTTCCGCGCCGCCCTCACACCCTCCAGCCCTCGAGCTCTCGGTGCGCATAGCCTGGTCTGCGCGGACGGTTGGGCTGCTCTCAGGCCACTCTCTCTGACCCCCCAAACTGGGACTTCTCGCTGCCACACTGTCCCCCAGGTGCTCCACCTCGGCATCGTAGGCCAGCAAGGAGATGTAAAGTCCCTGTCTCCCGTGTGCGACAGCAGCCGGCGCCACGCCCAGGGGCCTGGCTGCCGCGTTCCTTACCCGCCCGGCTCCAGCTGGGGCTCCACCCGCCCACCCCGCGCGTCACCCGCGGCACTCACAGGTAGCTGCCGCTGGACAGGAGGAGAAAGATCTGCGGGCAATAGACGGAGAGGAGCGCGCTGCGCGGCGACAGCAGGAGCATGGTGGGCCGGCGCGCCTGGCAGGGCTGAGGAGGCCCCGCGGGCAGGGCGCCTGGGCAAGCTGAGGCCGGGGTCCCCGCAGCGCTCCTTGATGCAGGGCGACGGCACTGGGCGCTAGGGGCCGGGGCTTGCGGGCCCTGGTGCAGTGGTCGCCCGTGCCCCGCCGCCAGGGCCGCACATCGCGCTGGATCTGGGGCGACTGTGGGAGCTAGGGCTGGAATGCGGAGCGGGGACCCGTCCAGAGGCAGCCGGCGCGCCTTGGTGGCCGTCGGGCCCTCCGTCCTTCTGTCGGTGCGAACCGGCTCTGTCGCTCACTCTGGCTCACGTCTCCAAGTCTCCCGAGGCGCGCAGCTGCCATTGGATGGGCCGCCCCTACATCCGCCTCCTCCCCCGGCGGGTTTTTTTAAAGGGGAGGCTGACCGAGAGCGTGCGGTGGGAACCGCCTCCGGGGCTTGCCCAAGTTGCCTGGGCCGGGACATCCCCACCCCCACCTTCAGGGAGCCACACAGCTCTGGCTTGGCCCTGGAGGGTGCACCTAAGGGGAGGCACCGTGGGGTAACCGCGCGCGGAGGCGTGTGCTCCTCTTAGGGCTGTGCTGGGCAACGCGTGCTCCTGTGCCTGCATGTGACTGTGTGTGCGACTGCGGATAGAAGCGGTCTGCGAGGCTGCAGGTGTGTGTGCACAGACGCACTGTGTGCGATGCGCCTCTCCTTTGATGAGGGTGTCTGTGGGTCCCAGGCACTCTCTGCGCGGGTGCAGTCCCTGGTGTCTGCACACCAGCAGGTGTTGCTGTCCTGACACGGAGGCCCCAGCTCTGGTTTCCCAGGCCCCCTTCTTTTGCTCTCCTTTGAGGGGTTGGTTGGGTTCTGGAGGAGCAGATCCGCAAGGACACACTTTGCTAAACAATCCTCCTGCTTTCAGTTACTGTTAATCCCAGAAACACAAGTTTAGGGTCGGACCTCATCTTGTGTGCTAAGCCTGGCTACCTATGAATATCCCTCTAGAGGCAGCGTGAACCCTGTCAGCTGGGGCAAAGACACAAAGCAGAAGACAAGAAGAAAAGGGAAGTCAATGCAATGTGGCCTGTGGTCCTGAGGAAATGGATGTCCTGGCTTCAAGATCTGGCATGGACACTCAACCTCAGCACTCAGAAGAAAGGAGCTGCTTCCGCTGCCTTCATGCCTTCCAGGCCGGGGCCCTTACCTTCTGCTTCTGGCCCCAAAGGCAGGAGAGGGCATGGGACAGGGCTGAGGCCAGGTGCTCAGACTCCAGACTGGCTCCTCCAAGTCCTGCTTTGTCCTCCTCCAGGACTAAAGCTGGAGGCTGCTCAGTCCAAAAGGACCCTGAGGGAGGAGCTATAACTCCCCAAAGCCATTACCGGTAGCTTTTCAAAATGCTCAAAATGCAAGGCTCATCTGTCCTAGCTGTCCTGGCCCCTTGGAGATGGAAAAGCATGAGTTCTTGTTCCTGCTTGTGTGGGAGACCCACAGGGGTGGCCCACATGAGTTGCACTGTCCCTAAGGGCACATGTGTGTGATGGCTGCTTAAGCACAGGAGGGGAATGAGGGAGGCTTTCCTGTGTATATTCCAAAACATGCAGTATTCAGGGATGGGCATGGGGGGGGGTGCTGTGATCATAGAACAGCCCCCAATTCACACAATCTCTGATTTTTGGTCAGAACTTTATGACCCTCAAGTTTCAGCTTCTGGGATTCAGAGGCCTTAGAATACATTGGAGGAGTCCCCAGGGTGCTGGCCTGGGTGATATCTTGGTCATTAACACTAAGAAAGGTCTTATTTGTGACCACAGGTGCTTATTGGTACACACCCTCCACTGCCCCCAGAGCCAAGGCCCCTAGGACCAACCTTCACTGTGCAGTGAGAGAGGGACTGTCCTCATCTCAGTTTTTCAGAGAAGGAAAGGGAGGCCAAGAGGTTAAAGGCCATAGGGTAGGAGTGACAGGAGGACTGACGGGGGACTGACCTGGACATTGGTCCCAGACTCCCAAACCTTCTCCTTAATCCACTGGACTCCCAGGTCGTTTAACTCCTTACAACACGTCTGGGCCCAGCTGCCCCCTCCTACCCACCTTGTGCAGCCAAAATGGCTGACAAAGAAAGCAGGGCCCCTCTCTCCACTGAGGGCTGGCAGGGACTGAGCTATGGGGGGGGGGTGGCTGGGTGTCCCTTCCCTAGCAGATCCCAGCGTGGATATCCTGCTTTCCTGGCTGTCATTCCACAGGGTGTTAGGAGACCACATTTTGAAAACCCTGGAATAGAGAGACTGTGTGTTTTGGGGGATACACCATGGGCAGGAACTCCCTCCTCCAGCGGTTCTGGGCTGGTCCTTCCAGAATGAGGCTGACTCAGGTGCTGGGAGCCACAGAGAGACCTGATGGGGGCTTGCTCACCTGCTCTTTCTTCTCAGACACTAGCTGCCATCCTGTGCAGCATGACCAGAGTTGCAATTCCATTTATAGAAGGGAACTGGAGACTCAGGACAGTCACGAAGACCTCCAAACCCTGGAATCAGCCCTGGAAGCCCAGGCTGAGGGTGGACTTCAGCTGGGGCTGCCCAAGGTGGGGAGGCTTCCCTGTGCACATTCAGCTGCCTATGGGGAAAGGGGCTGCCTGTGACGACTTGACTCCTGTTGAGGAGCTGATGCTAGGAGTGGTGGGTGATGGAGGCCAGCGCTGACTCCCATCCCTGCTCTGCCACTATTCCTGTGGGCAGTGACTTGGCCTCCTGTGCTCAGTGTCCTCATCCTTAAAGCTGGGAAAGTAAAGTCACCCAACTCTAGGGATGCCAGCAGGGGAAGGCCTGGGCGCTGAGAAGCAGGCAGCAGGGACAGAGCCTCATTAAGGGTTGGGGATCACCTCGGGGGTCCTGGGGAACCTCTGCAGGGTTGCTGAAGAGTCTGGAAAACAGCAGCCTACTCACCCCACCCCCACCCCCAGCAGACTCTGTGCTCTGCACCCCTCACCTCCATAAACAAACACCCGGGGACACAGCCTGCCCACAGACCTACAATAAACAGAGCCACCAGCAGCCGCAGACACAGCCGCTCAGGACAGCACGGCTGCGGGTAGGAAGGAGGTCTTCCAGCCCCGCCTCTGAAGCCACGGCTGCCTGTCCCTAATAGCTCTGGGCCTTGGTTTCTCCACCTGTACAAAGGCTGAGTAGATAAGGGATGAGGGGGTGGGCGAGATGATTCTCAAGTCGTGCTTAACCTCTCTGCCCGAGAAGTCCCATCTCCCGCCAGCGGTACCGAGACCCGCCCCTCCCACTATCCGTTCACTTGCCTTGCCCGCCGCTGGCAGCGCATAGTAGGTGCGCAGGGCGAGGCTGGGCTAGGGTCTACGCAGGTGTCAGGGGCTGGGCTGGAGCCAGGGGATGAGCGTCCCCCAGGAGGAGTACCGCACCCCCTCTTGGTCACGTCGCCCCTCCACCCCCACTTAGAGCGAGACCGAGACAGATTCTGTCTAAAGGAGATCGCGGCTCAACAGGTAAGGACTCGGCTGGGTTCAGGAATGTGGAAATACGACTCGGAGCAGCTACCGCAGCGAGTAGCTAGCGCGGCCCGCCGGGCGCCCGCCCGGCCGCGCGAGGGGGAGCGCGGCGAGAGGGGGCCGGGCCCAGGGCCCCGGGCGGGCGGGGGCGCGGGCCCCGGACGGAGCCCGAGGCGGCCGGGCCGGCCCCGCAGACCCGCCCGAGCCAGCCCGACGGGTTGTCAAGGTAATTTCAACACGTCCGGGTGATGGATAGAGACGAAGGGCCGTGGCGGGTGCCTCGGCCTGCGCGCTCGTCACCGGGTGCGCGCCCCCGCACTCCCGGGTCTCCCCAGCAGCCCGACGCCCCCAGTCCCGGCGCACCCTCAGGGCAGCGAGTATTCAGCCCGGGCTCGGCGCCCAGTGCAGCCGGGGGAGGAAAGGCGCGTCCCACCCCCCGGGCCTGGAGCCCAAACAGGTGAAAGTACGCGCTGGGCACGCTCGCCGCTACCCGCGAGCCCGACCGCACCGCCCGCGCGCCCCTCTCTGGCTCCTGATCTGGGTTCGGCGCCCCTCGAGAGCACCCACTGCTCAGAGGACTCAGCTGAGTCTCTGCGGGACTGGGGCGAGGGTCTGACACACAGACCAGCCCCGGAGCCCCAAGAGCCTACGTGCCCCTCTGGGTCCCCACGTCCCCGCAGGGTCCCCTTGGAGGCAGCTCCTCCTGGCTGTCGTGGCCCACGGCTGCGGTCCCTGCCCACGAGGATACTCACCCGAGCTTCACGTAGAGGACGCCAAAGCAGAGAAACACGTAGAAAATCCACTTGCGAAAGTTTCTGTGCATGATCCAGGGAGGGGGGCTGCGCCATAGACAGCGGCGGCCGGAGGGGACGCGCGGGCCCGGCAAGGGCCGGGCAGGGGCCTGGGGATTGCGCGCAGACTGTGCTCAGCCGGCGCTGCGGCTCGGGCGGCCAGCGACGCGCGGGCACTCGGCGCGCGCTGCCACCATGGTGAGCCCGGAGCGCTGCCGCCGCCGCGTGCGCCTGGGAAAGTGACCGGGACCAGGGGCCGCGACTTCAGAGCCGGGCTGAGCGACCGTGGGGCCCTGCAAGCGCGGCCGGGGCCCGGGCGCGGCAGGCGGGCGGGTGCTGCCTCCCCTGGGCGCAGCTGCCTGGAGCCGTGCGCGCCTAGCCGAGCGCCGCGGCGGCCAATGTGTCCGCACTTGTCGGCCTCCCCAGGTGACTCGCGGCCCAGGCGAACTAGTCGCGAGCGAGCGAGCGCGCCCCAGGTAGGAGGATCCGCCTCCCGCCCGCCCTCCTCGCTCGCTGCGTGCTCTCTCTCCCTCACTCCCTGGCTCTCCCCTCCCTTTTCTCCTCCCTCCCCCGTGACACACAAACGCATCTACCCCCGTGCCCCCCTCTCCAGGCCGGCTCCCTTCCGATTTCCCTCCAGGGACTGGGTTGGGGTGGGTGGGAGAAGGTTGAGGGGGGCCGCGGGGGAGGGTGTGGCTCTTGAGAGACACCTGCGCTCCTCTGTGCCCAAGGGGGGTGGGAGTAGGAGTGGGGGTGGGGGCGAGAAACGACCTGTAGGAGTCCTGGTGACCACTTGGCTTCTGTATCTAGTGGGGGAGGCAGAGACCATCACCCCCAACACCTTTAGGAGAGCACTTCTTCCCCCCGGAAATTATCTACATGGGGTCCTCAGGGCCATATCCTTACCCTCACTCTGGCAAAGCCCCAGAGCCGATCACACCTCGTGCCTCAGCACCCAGCACTGTTGCCAGAAGGGCAATCTAACTTGGGAGCATGGAGGACCGAGGGAAGGACAGGCTAGTCTGGTCAGATGCAGGGGGATGGCACAAATGGCCTCCTGCAGAAGCCATCTGCCAAGCACTATGATGCAGGCATCATGCATAGCAGATGTTGATGGGGGCTCACTTGAAATTGGGGTAGGCTCCTGGCCCCTCAGGATTCCCTGCTTACCACCCCTCCACCCTTTTCCCGTGGTTTGCATGGTCCCCTCTGCAGCGTCCCGCTGAATGTTCAAGTGCAGCCACCACAGCTGAAATCAGAAGGGCCTCTGTGCCTCTCACACCCGGGGCCAGTTGGACCTGGGTCAGCTAAAACGAGTGGGTGCCAGCGCAAGGCAGACCCTGTCCCATCCAAGAGCTGTTTGTCCCCAGAAGGCAAGATGGTCACGATGGGCTGGCCAGACCAGCTCCCCACCTGTTCTGTGCTTTCTTAGCCCTGGATGCCTTCCAGTGATGCCACCCAAGGGCTAGCGGATAGCACTGCAGAGACCTTAGTCCCAGAAGACCAGCCAGGACCTAGACCTGCAGGGGTGGGAGTGAGCCTGTGGGAGGGGCTGCTTCCGCTACCCTGTGCCTTGCCTAGCCAAGTCCAGCTGGCCGGGATGTTGAGCTCAGAGCTCACCTCCCCCGACAGGCTGTCCCGACAGACCCCCTGCCCCCATCTCCTCCTAATCCCTCCAAATCCCCTGAACCTTTGCCACAACCCAGGCACAGGCCAGTCCTCGGCCCCTGGATCAGAGGTGAGGCATGCAGCTGCCATGAGCCAGGTGAGATGGGGAGGATTTCCAGATAAAAGGGACATCAGGGGATGGGCACAGACGGAGAATTGAGACACAGAAAGAATGAAATTATAATAGTAACCTCACCCCTGAGTATCCCTGCCTCCCAGAGCCCCACTCTGAGGTAATCATCCCATTTAACCCGGGGGAGCTGAGCCCAGTGAACAGGAGGGTATGGCCCAGCCTCACAACTAGTGGGGAGATCTGGGAGGCTGGCCGGCCGGGGCTGGGAGCTGCGGGAGGAGCTGGTGCTTGCGGGAGGATGCTGCCACCCGGCGGCGACGCGGCGGGAGGCGCGACGCGGGACGCGGGTAGCTGGGCCACAATGGCCCTGGGGCTGCCAAGTGGGCAGTGCTCCCGCCCCAGCACATAGTCCAGGGGCCATCCCGTCCCCCAGTGCCACCACCCTCAGTCTTGGAGGCTGTCAGCAGGGCGAAGCATCAGGAGCTGCCGGCTGTGACAGGGCTGGAGTAGCCAGGGCAGCCCTGGCGGTCTCCTTTCGGCGCCGAACTCGGCGCCCGCCCCCTACACCCGGGCTCCAGGCCGGAGGTTAGGCTGCCTCCGGAACCTGCCAGGCGGGGAAAATGAAGAGGGTTATGGTCGGTGGGTGGGAAGCCTAGGTGCGTTTACCGACAGTTTCCCAGGGAGAGTGGGATGCAGAGCCATGTCTGGGAATCTGAAGTGACCGCGGCACAGAGTCGTGCCGCCCCCTGCCGGCCGCGGGTGCGAAGCGACGCGGGGACAAGGGTCGGGCCAAGCCGGGTTCTAGGACTTCTCTTGGCCCACCTCAAGTCGCTCCCACGCGTCCAGTTTCTCATAGCCTCATCAAAATCTCCTTGAATAGCTGCAAGGTTCGGGGACCTACAGCGGGAAGAGCGGGTGCCCATGCCCAAGCGAGTTGTCTGGACAGCAGGTGGCTGTGCCCGCAGTCGCTACACATCCTGGACTCCCAGGGCCAGCTCCAGGCCTATGTGACCACAGCCAGCGCCTCCCCAATGCCTGCCCCCACCCCCACCCCCACCCCTTACATGGGATTGCAGCTCTAATCATCTTGAAGATGGTGGCCAATGTCGGACCCCAAGTATCCCACATCCATTATGGGGAGGGGGCGATTGAGGGGGAAGTGGAATCTGAGATTCTGTTAGAAGTGGGGTTCTCTCTGGTTCCCAGCCGGTATTGAGGCCTGCCCGTGGAGGGCATCTCCAGGGTTGGGACACCCTGCAGACTTCAGATGGGTCTTTGGTCACTAGGTTCAGTGGTGCTCAGAACATCCTTCTTGTGTGACAAGCAAAGCTTTCAACCGCTCCATCCTGGGGCTAATGATCACAGCAACAGTAGTATCCACACCCCATGGAGTTCTTTGGGCAGGATAATGAGTTAATCCACAAATGAGTCAACCTAAAACTCAATGCAGGTGCCGTGTCTGGATCCTACCGGCCTACCTGGGCAGAGCCAGGGTGTGGCCAAGCCAGTGTCTAACCCACTATGACACTAGCCTCCTTCCCACTTCTCAGAGGGAGTGGACTGCAGCTGCCTGTGGAGTGGCCCTAAGCAGAGCCAGTCTCTAATTATGTGGAGGGGGCATTCGTGGGCCTCTGTCCAGCAAGGAGAGGTTCTGGAGCCCACTGGATCGCTCTCTGGAAGGTTCACGTGGGACCCACTGGTTCCCCGGAGCCTGAAGCCTTTTCTGTGGACAACAAGGATCCAGGTCTCTCTCTCTCGCTTTCACTCTTTTTTTAGAGACAGGGTCTCTCTTATGAGACAAGGGCCTGGGAGCTGAGTCTGTCTCCCAGCCTGCCTGTGCACATGTGGCTCTGGGTAACCAAAACTTCTTTGAGTGTGTTCTTTCCAGGGTGTGCTTGTGTCACTGCTAACCAGAGTTGCAACCTCAATTCCCTCACTCCAAAGCTTTATCACAGTTTTCCAAGCTGGAATTGAGGAAGTTGTCCTCAATTCACCTTCCTTTTCACTGCCCACATCCAATCCCTTACAGTCCTTTTGCCTCCATTCCAAAACAGAGCCTGCCTAAGCCACCATGGCCTCCACCAGAAGATCAACTAGCTGTTCCTCCTGCTTCCTTTCTCCACCCCCTGCCGCGCAGCCTCCAGCCAGCAGCCAGAGTAAGCTTATATACTGGTGGGAGACAAACAGGAGACAAATAAGACATGTTGTCCTCAGAGTCACAAAGGGAACAGTGAGTGTTACGATTGCAAATATCAGTAAACACAAGCTGGATCAGGCCATTTGTCCCTGTTAACCCTTCCCACTGCTCTCTGAATAAAATCAAAATCCTTAGCTAGCCTTTAGCCTGGCATCTTCTGGCTCCTGTCTTCTCTCCTGTCCATCCTCTGGGTCATTCTTTTTGTTACTTGAATACATCAAACTAGTTTCTGCCCTGGGGCCTTTGCACATGCTGCCCCTGCTGGCTCAGTGCTCTTCCCCTAGATCTGTGCGGCCCCACCTTGAATGTCCTGCATCAGAGGAGCCTCACATTCCTCCCCCCAAACACACTTACTGATACTTGCAGTCATAACACTCACTGTTCCCTTTGTGACTCTTAGAACATGTCATTATTTGTCTCCTATTTGTCTCCCACCAGTATATAAGCTCCATGGGGGCCGTTGTACTGTTTGCTTTGGTTATTGCTCTAATCCTAAGACATAGGAGAGAACCTGGCATATAGTAAGTGCTTGATCAAGTAATTGCTGAATAGATGAATGAATGATTTTCCAGGAAGCAGCTGGCAGGCATGACCTGACCTTGACCTTGACTTTTTTGAACCTTGAGCTTGAGCTTGACACAACAACTCCAGCATCGATGCCCCACACCCACTCTTGTTACTCTGCCCCACCTAGTTCTTGAATAGAGACTGACAAGGGTTTCCTGAATGCGGCTTAGGAGTTGCTGCAGGAGTGCTGGCCACTCTAGATAAGGAACAAATGCTCATTTATTGGACCTCACACAGCCTTGTGAAATGATACTTCTGGATTCATTATGCAGATGAGGAAGCTGAGGAAAAGAAGGAAGTACTTGGCAGAAATCACACAGCTGGTAGAGGTGAGATTTGAACCCAGGCCCATCAGGCCCAGAGCTTGGACTCTTCCCTCCACATGTCTCAGCCTCCTGGGAGGGAGGCCCTGTGCCTTATGGATTGGGGGTACCTGGCAAAGCACCCACCTAGTCCAGCACTCCTAGTCCAGCACTGAGTGTGGCAGGAAAACAAAACCACAGGAGGGTGCTGCTGACACTGGGCAAACCCAGGAGGAGTAAGGCATGTGGGTGGGGCCTGAATATACAGTGGGCAGAACTCTAAATAGCTCAGATGTCCTGCCCAGATCTCTAAGACTGTATGATGAGATGTCATGCCTACGACTGTGTTATGCTCCATGGTAAAAGATGAAGTTAAGGCTGTTAATCAGTTGCTTGGAGTTCATTAGAAAGAGATTCCCCCCGCCCCAGCTTGATATAATCACGCCAGCCCTTTCCAAGCAATTTTTCCCTGGCTTGTGGCCACAGGAGCAATCAGAGAGCTCTGCAGCATGAGAAGGATTTGACCTGCCACTGCTAGTTTTGGGGGGATTTTTTTGAGACAGAGTCTCAAGCTTTAACCCTGGGTAGAGTG